ATATATATATATATATATAAAAGGGCTGGGGATACAGCTCAGTGTGAAGGCCCTGGGTTCAATCCCCAGTATCCCCTCACCCTCGCTCCCCAGCTTCTGCTTGAGTCATACACTCCTACTTGCCTGGCCCCTCTGAAGGACTGCCTGGGGTGGGAGCTCTCAGAGTTCCAGGCAGTTTCCCAGGCAATTCTGCTGAGCATTGTAGAGGATAATGGGAGCCATGCAGGCTGCTGCAGGAAAAGCAGGGATTCTGATACCTTCAGTGTTTGATTTCTGCATCCAGCTGCCAGTAAGACTTTTCTGTACCTCTTCTTGCTTTACAGGACTACTTCTCAGACTGTGGGTCTTATTATCTGAAATTAGATAAAATGTGAAACAAAAGCATAGACATATCAGAAACTCTTACATGTAATGAGTTTAAAACAGGCTGTTCTACTTCTTCAACCTTGGATTAACCAAAGCAACTTGCAGGTTTTGTTTTCTTCATATAAAAGGAATTCACACAAAAGTAGGCTGTTTGACTCACTTCAAAATGAAGCGACAAGATGAATACAGTAACCACTAACATTTATACAGAGCTTAGTGGTATCTGATACTACTCCAAGATTTTACACACAGCAGCTCACTTGTTCCTCACAGCAACCCTCCGAGAAGGTATTATCATTAACTCTGTTTTACATTTAGGGGATCTGAGGGTCAGGGATTAAGGATTTGCCCAGATCAGATAAGCCAGTATGTAGGTTAGGACAAATATCTAGGCCACTGGGCTCTCATGTCTGCTTGTAACACTACCCTGCACTGTATCATCAATTTCTAGACACCAAACATGTGAGTAGACCATAGTTTCTGGGAATTGGCAAGATCTGAAAAAGCTGATAGTGGGAAGAAAATTAACTGTATCTGATTTACAAGATGAACTGGCACAGCACAGTCTCAAAGAGAAACTAGCAATGCTAGATGGTCTCCCTCTAGAAAGAACCAGCAATCTCTGTCTGTGCAGGCTCATGGCTGGACTACAACAGGAGCACATGTTCCTGCACACCAGGGATGCTTCTAGTCCACGAATGCTGACTGGTGGTTTCTAAATATGCATTCAAGGACAGGGGGGTGTAGTTTAGCAGTAAAGCACATGCTTAGCATGTCCAAGGCCCTAGGTTCAATCCCCATTACCAAAATATGCCCATAAATTTTTTGACACATTTCCCTTCAAAATTCCCTTGTTGCTGTTGAATATGACCCAGGTTCAATGAACTGTTTCTGATAAAGGAGATGTAACATAAGAGATGGTATGAGTCTTCCTATTGTTATACTGAGGATGAACCCAGCAGTGCTTTACCACTGAGCTACATCCCCAACTCCTCCCTTTTTTAAATTTTGAGACAAAGTCTGTCTAAATTGCATAGCCTGACCTAAATTGCAGTGGGCTGACCTCATCATTCTGCCTCAGCCTTCCCAGTAGCTGGGACTATGTGTGTGTCACTGAACCAAGCTGGTATGTGTCTTCTGAGGTTAGGCCATAAAAATAGCTTCTGGGTGTCTCTGAATTTGCTGGCAGTAAGAGAAGCCATCTACCATGTTTTAAGGACACCTAGTAACTCTATGAGAGGCCCATCTGGAAATGAATGTTTTCAGCCATGTGAATGAACCAGATCCTCCACCCTTAACAAAGTTTGAGTGACTCTAGTCCCTGAAGAGGTGAGCTGTTCTGACTGTACCCACTTAGAACTGCAAACTCCCAGAATTGGGAGAAATTAAATAGTCATTTTTGTCTTAAGCCGTAAGTTTGAGTAGTCTGTTATATAGCAATAGATGGTTAATAGACTCACGTACCCTCTCTGTTGAGCAGAGACTTGCATCCTGGCTCTGTCTGGCAGGGTTGGGGAAAGGACATGTTAGCACTAAAAGACTCCTTTGTAGGAAAAGATGTTTTTCCAAACTGTGAGGAACATGCTTCGGGTCTTACAACCACAGAAAGGTTTTTCCTAGGACTGAAAAAAGTTAACTATAAAAGCAAAGTCATGATTCTGCTAAAATCACTTAAAAGTACTTGGTTATTAAACTTCAACAAATTTCATCTTTTCATGCCTAGGTGTTTTGACTAGTGGTTTCATCTATTATGCATGTTCATACTCTGTCCAGGATGATAGTACAAAATTCAAGGCATTTCAATAGGAATTACCAAATTTCCATATTCTCCTCTAGTCACCCCGAAACACTGGCCATAATTCCTTTACTATTTCCAATTCCACCAAAAAAATTGTTCAGCGTGAACAACCTAATTTTTATTTATTTATTTATTAAGACAGGGTCTCACTATGTAGTTGAGACTGACCCGGAACTCACTATGTAGTCTAGGCTGGTCTCAAACTCAGCGATCCTCCTGCCTCAGTCTCCCGAGTGCTGGGATTATAGGCGTGAGCCACCATGCCCGGCTGAACAACCTAATTTTTAATAGTCTGGGACTGAATCCAAAGACTCACAATCAGAAAAAGACTCTATTAGAAAGTGTTAAAGCCAGGTGTGGTGGCACATCCCTGTAATCCCAGCTTGGGAGGCTGAGGCAGGATTGCTGTGAGTTTGAGGCCACCCTGGGCTACACAGTGTGTTCAAGGCCAACCTGAAATGCACAGGGAGACCCTGTCCCAAAGAAGAAGAACAAAAAGTGTGTTAAAAACAGCAAGTTCCTCAAGTTTCTCTCCATGTTTGAGGAGCAGTCTTAGCCCTTTGATCTTCTCCTTTACTGATGTGTGAAGAGGTGAGGATAGATTCCCTTAACTCTCGTCTCCCTGAAGTATGCAAGGCAAGGTGAGTTTAATCCCATAGCCTGCTTATTATGGGCAAAGGCAAAATGTTTAATGTTAGAAAAATGCCCTGACACCATTCAAATTTCGAGGCTGATATATACAGTACCAGACTGTCCTGACAGGCAGAAAATAGAAAACATACTATTAACAAGCTAAGCATATCTGGCAGCAAAGGAGGGACCGCTAGAAAAAGGTCCCAGGGCGGCAATGAAGGAAAAAAATTCCAAATACTTAGCTAGGACTGAAGTATATTTGTACTTGGAAATATACTCATACTTGGGGCAAAATCTGTTACGGTAAACAGATTTTTTGGTCAGGGAGGGATGGAACCCAGGCTCTATGTGTGCTACATAAGCAGTCTGCCACTGTGCTGCATGCTAACCCCGTTATGTTAAATCACTAAGAATGAAGACTGGCCCTGCCCCAAAATATGGAGATCATCTTTTCAATTTTCTTTTTCTTTTTTTCTTTTGGTAACAGGGATTGAACTTGGGCCCTTGCGCTTGTGAGGGAGGTGATGGAACCACTGAGCTAAATCCCTGGCTCATCTTTTAAGTTTTTTTTAGGAATGTATGTATGCATGTATTTTTTTGTGATATTGGAGATTAAATTTAGGGTCTTCACACTGAGCTACATCTCCAGTCCTTTCATATGTGTGTGTGTGTGTGTGTGTGTATTACATATGTGTATATATGTGTGTATATATATCTATATATGTTTTAATTTTTTTTTTCCTTTTTGAGACAAGGTCTTGTTAGGTAGTTCCAGCTGGCTGTGAACTTACTATGTAGCCCAGACTGGCCTTGAACTTATGGCAATCCTCCTGCCTCAGCCTCCAGAGTGCTGGGATTACAGGCATGTGCCATCATGTCTGGCTCTAATTTTTTTTTTTTTTTTTTTTTTTTTGATATAAAGGCACTAAATTTCTCAGGCTGGGCTCTAATTTGTGATTCTCTTGCCTCAGCCTCCCAGACTGCTGGGATTACAGACAAGTACCACTACCCTGGCTTGCTTTTTCTACTCTACTTTTGAGAAACTGTGTTTATAAAGTCTCACTCAAAGGAAGCACCTAGAGTGAGGGCCTTTATGCTGTGACATCTCAAATCATTCAGCTTCATCCAAACCACCGCTGAATCCTTCAGCAAAGAAGACCCCTGCCCAAGTGGCAGGGTCTAATGGCCTCCATCCAGGACCAGCCTGACAGGGTTACACACATTTTACTAAATGACATAAAACTGAACTGTCCCTCCAGCACCATCCTTACCTGACATGGGGAATGGAGGGAGCGGCCAGTTTATTCACCCGTTCACTGCTCTCAAGCTTTGCCCTTAATTCATTCATTTCTGCATCTTTAAACTGGAGCTCAGACTGCAATGATTGTAGCTGGAAGGCCAAAGAAATACATTTGCAGTGACATTGTAATGTGCATAAAAATATCTCTGTGCTTCAAAATCCCAAGCTAGTAAAGGTAAAACAATGACGACACATATGAAAGTCTGCTGTCATGTAAATGTCCTAAAATATAAAATGCACCCCCACCCAAAAAAAAACCAAAATGCTGGGCATGGCGGCACATGCCTGTAATCCCAACACTTGGGAGGCTGAGGCAGGAGGATCGCTGTGAGTTTGAGACCAGCCTGGGCTACATAGTGAGTTCCAGGTCAATCTCAACCTAATGAGACCCTGTCTCAAAAAACCAAAAAAAAAAAAAAAAAAAAAAAAAAAAAAAAAATGTTACCTTCCTGAAAGACAATAGGATACTCTAGAAAGACGTCTGACTTTTAAGTATTGTGAAGGCAGTGGTGGGCCCTCCACTTACTGAGCCTTTCTGAATTTGCAACACACACACTTGTCTTCATCAGTGTGGGGTGATTAAGGAGGATGATGAATATAAATTGTGCAGCATAGAGTTAGGCAAGGTGCCAAATCTCAATAGTAACTTCTCTTTTGAGACGGGGTCTCGCTGTGTAGTTTAGGTTGATGAACTCACTATGTAGCCCAGGCTGGCCTCAAACTCATGGCAATCCTTCTACCTCAGCCTCCTGAGTAGGACTACAAGTGTGCACAACCATGCCTGGACATTTTTCTTTTTTTGAGATAGGGTCTCAGCATGTTGCCCAAGCTAATTTTGAACTTGTAATCCCTCTGTCTTAGCCTCCTGAGTTGCTGGGATTAGCAAGATGTCTGGCTGTTGATCTTTTTGTTTTGTTTTGTTTTGGTTTTTTGAGACAGGGTCTCACTATGTAGTTGAGACTGACCTGGAATTCACTGTGTAGTTCAGGCTGGTCAGCAATCCTCCTGCCTCAGCCTCCCAAGTGCTGAGATTACAGGCGTGTGCCACCACATCCGGCGAGGCTGTTGATCTTTTAATAAATGTAATGGTATGCATTTCTAGGTCTTTTTTTTTTTTTTTTGGTAGTGGGAACTGAACTCGGGACCTTGCACTTGCAAGGCAGGCGGCAGAACCACTGAGCTATATATCTGGCCTTCTAAGTCTTTTTGAAAAGTTTAGGCAGAGTACTTCATAGTTTTACCAAAGCCCTGTGTGCGGCCTGCTGCTCAGCCTCCCAGGCTCTGCAGCCATCATTTCCTACACTTACCTTGTACCAGGCACACCACCAGTAGCAATAAATGCAGATTTGGGCCTCTTAACAACCTTTCTGGTTATTTTCTGGGATAGTCAGAAATAAGTTATGAAGCTTCAATCATTATCCTGAGGTCACCACTAAAGCCTGGATTCAAACTCTAGTTTGGATAACTGCAAATTCCTTGTTCTTCAGCACTCATTCTTTCATTTATTCATTTATTTGTTTGTTTTTTGAGATAGGGTCTGACTATGTAGAGCAGGTTGGCTTTGAACTTGTGGAGATCCTCCTGCCTCAGCATTCTCTTTTGAGGAAGGCTAAGGATTACAAGTGTGCCACACCAGCTTTTGTTTTCTTGAAAGAGGGTGCTGCAATATAGTTCAGGTTGCCTTGAACTTACTAAATAGCCCAGGCTGGTCTTGAACTTGTGATCCTCTTGCCTCAGCCTCCCCAGAGCTGAGATTATAGGTGTGGACCACAACGTCCAGCTTTTCATCATTTATATGAAGACAGCGCTGGGCATAAGTAAGTTCATAGAATATTTAAAGTTTGTTAAATTTGGCTGGGGTCTTAGTACACTGGAAGAGTGCTTGCCTATGTGAGGCCCTGGCTTCAGTCTCAAATCACACACACACACACCCTTTCAGAAGGGAGTGAAGGAAAGTGGTGATAAATACTAGATACTTGCTGTTTTTCTTCTCACAACAGCGTTTTCTTTTCCTGAGAAACAGTCATTTGCCTGCCTCTGAACATGTGATTCAAATGGGGGCTTTCACTGGACAGCAGCTGGTCCAGGGACAGACATCTGACTCAAGGTAGAATGATCAGTGCCTTCTGCAGATTTTTAAACTTGAGGTAGGGAGCCAAGTCTTACTGGTGCTTTGGAGTTAAGAATATGAGCATGAGTCCAGGAGCTTCTGGAGAATACATCCTTTCCCATAGGGACAGAACTTATCTAAAGCATAGGAAATTAAAATGTGTCACGGTGAGGTCTAAGTCACTCAAGACCCTAACATACTGCTGTCTTCCCAGACCTGGTTTTACATAAGTCTTTAGATTTCCTTTTGGCTTAAGGTAGGTTAACTGGGTTTGTTTACCAGAAGAGCCTGAATTTAAGTCTGTTTCTAGAAATTCTAAACTAGTGATTTATTCTTGCTAAGACTACCACAGTGATACAGTATTTCATCCCAGTCCTTTTCTAGACCTTATGCAGACTCTGGAAGAAAAATGTAGCAATTTGCTAAAAGCAGAAAGTACTTAAGACAAACAGCTATGGAAAACTCCCTAGAAGATTTATAGGCAACACTGCATCTTTGCTTCTACAGGAAATCAGGAGCCAGGTGTGATGGTACATGCCTGTAATCCTAGCACTCTGGGAGGCTAAGGCAGGAGGATCTCAAGTTTGAGCCAAGTGTGGGCAACTTAGCTCAAAATGAAAAATGGGCGGGGAGGTAGCTTGGTGAGAAGGCTCTGGGCTCAATCCCCTATACTGCAAAATAAATGAAACAAGGAAGTCAGTGAGCAGACAAAGTTGCTTTCATCATATGCAAAACAATTGCTCTGAGTCACCTTTCTGGAGAATTCTTTTTCTTTGTCACTGAGTGTTTGGGTTTTCTCTTGTTCAAGAAGGAAATGTGATCGTTTCTGTTCTTCCAGAATGGATTCTGACTGATACAATGAGTCCCGCAAGATTTTAATTTCTCCGTTCTTAATGAGGATTTCTTCTTCCATCACCTTCAGCTGTAAATCCCAAATTAACTGATAGTCAGCAAGAACAAGTTAAGGATACACTTGATACTCACACTTAGTGCATAGTAACTGCATAGAACAGGTTTCATTTCATATATGTGTATGATAAACTTTGATCACTTCCCCTTTACCCCACTCCACAATCCCTTTCCTTTTCTCTAATACTCTTGCTTTCACTTTCACATCACGTATAGATTCTTTAGTTTCTAAAAGGCACTCAACAATCCAGGTCATACTTCAGTGAACTGGAATTCCACATTTTGTTCCTGGTTTTCTTAGGGACCTACACATGGTCATATTAAAGCTGCTAATAAAATAGCAACTGTTATACTGTTCTTCTTATAAAGATATATGGTGTAATCTCAGTGCTTTAAGAGTTTGTGTTTCTCTTTGGATCTGGTATAGAGTGTTTCTTTTCTTGCTTTACTGTTAGGAATCTTACACTGTTTCTTTGTCTAAGTATTTTGGCTTTCTTTCCCCAACCTCTCATTTCATGGGAACAAAATTGAGATGCTTGTTTGAAAAATTTATATTTGACTGTACAATGCTTCCAAACACCTAAGTGAATGAAATAGTTATAAAAAAACACAAGTTGGTATGGAAGTGTAGCTCAGCGGTACAGCACGTGCTTAGCTTACACAAGGCCCTGGGTTTAATCCTCAGCATTAAAAGAAAAAAAAAAAACAAAAACCAGCAGCAGGCCAGGGATTTAGCTCAGTGGTGCAGCTGCCTGCCTCACAAGTGCAAGGTCTTGAGTTCCATCCCTGGTACCAAACAAACAGCAGCAAAAGAAACCCCAGAAGTGAAGTTACTTACCTTTTCCTTAAGTTCTTTGTATTGTGTTTGAAGTACCTCTAGTTCGAAGTTATCTTTCACTGAAGCATTTTCTCTGTTCCTCCCTGCAGGACTTTTTGACATCCCATCTAATCTGCGGACCTTATGAACAGCTGTATAAAACAATTCCCATATATATTTTAGGACCCAACATTTCTCCACTGTTGCCAGAAAATGCAGAAATGAATCATTGTGTGTGTGTGTGTGTGTGTGTGTGTGTGTGTGTGTGTGTGTGTATTACCATGGCTCAAACCTAGGGCCCATTTATCACTGAGTTGTATCCAGCCCTTTTCATTTTTTATTTTGAGATAGGGTCTCACTAAGTTGCTTAGCCTGGCCTTGAACTTATAATCTTCCTTCTTCATCTTCCTGAGTAGCTGAGATAACAGGCGTGTGCCACCAATCCCAGCATGAATCACTCTTGAAAGCAGAAAACAATCTAGTAGGCACTATGTATTGGTATTTTCCAACCTAAGAACATGATGTAAACGCAAATGATCCTTATGAAATCACAGATGCTACTACTCTCTTCTCACTCAATTTTAAGATTCTCAAAGCCTGAAAGAGTCAGGTGTGGTACTCACCTGAAATCCCAGCACTCAGGAGTCTGAGGCAGGAAGATCTCAAGTTTGAGGCCAGCCTGGGCTATATAGCAAGCTCAAGGCCAGCCTAAATACTACAACCCTAGCTAAAACAAAACAAAACAAAATGAAACAAAATACAAAAACACTAAAACTAAAATATAAAGGCTGAAAGGTACTGTGGAGATTTCACTAGCCAGAACTATTTCTATCATTCAACAATATTTACTGCACACCTACAATATACTAGCATTTATAAAGATATAAATGTGAACAAAATGTATAGTTCTAAAACTCAGGAAGCTTATAGGATGGATATTAAACAAATAATCACATGAATAAATATAAATACAATTGTGAGCCAGGCATGGTGACACACACCTATAATCCCAGTACTCTAGGAGACTAAAGCAGGATTCCAAGTTTGAACCTAGCCTGGTAGACTCAACGAGACTCTGTCTCAAAAAGTAAAAAGGGCTGTTGATATAGCTCAGTGCAAAGGCCCTGGAGTCATTTTTCAGGATGTGTGGGGGTTTTGTGTGTGGGGATTTGTGCAGATGACAAATACAAGAATGTCTATAAAGAGCCGGGGATTTAGCTCAGTGGCACCACGCCTGACTTGCAAGTGCAAGGTCCTGTGTTTGATCCCTGGTACACACACACACACACACACACACACACACACACACACAAAATGCCAGGGCTGGGGATTTAGCGCAATGGTTCCGGTGCCTGCCTCACA